CCATGTGTATAAATCCTTCCTGGATGTTGCCCTCCTTTTCATTTTTCACCTGTGATTGGCTATGGTCTAGGTACACATAATTTAAGTGAAGGTGTGATTTTTAAACTACTTTGAGTGAATTTGTGCAATGCTATATATGTATTTTGTTAGCTTGTTCCTTTAAATTTTCAGTGGCAGGTTATAAACACAGGAGGCCCCAGGAGGGATTAGCTGGTTTGATAAAGACTCCAGAGCATTCCCCATATCCATTGCTCAGTCACTTATTTCTTGCTGACTGATGGCTCAGAAATATTTTATATGCAGTTTCCTATTGTCTGCAGCTGCCAGAAGGGGCAGATTTTGAAGCTAGAGTGGTGGTGAGCATATGAGCACTATTTATTTGATTAGGTGTCTATACTGTTCTCACCTTTGTAGTGAGTACCTGAACCATAGAATCTTTATGATCACGAAACAAGGTGGGAAGGCACTGACTCCTTCTTGCTGTACTTTTGAATTTCCCCAGTCTTCAGTGTGCTAATGACAAATACAGGCACTTGCTAATTATTGTGTGATAATATTGCAACAGAGGCTTTGATTAGTTCTCAAAACTCATTGCACACATGTTTTCAGATCTCTAATATCACCTTTTTGGCCAAGAGCTATGCTTAAGCATTTGGCTTCCTTTCCTTCACTTCTCTTGGGTGACACAATATGTCTCTCCACCTTGTGATCAGGATATTTTTTGCCTGTCTATACTGTGAATTCCTCAAAGTCATGCTTCAAAAACAGGCATGCTTTGCATTCTCCACAAAAACTATGAACAGCATAATTCCTCACAGTTAAGTAACCACACAAGTTTTTCTAAGTACAGTAAACACATTCTTAAAGTGGAAGTTTTGCAGGAGAAACATAATAAAAACAATAAAAGGACCTGTATGCCTGTTAATAAGTTTACCAGAGATCACCCCTAAGTCCACCAAGGATTCTGGCAGGCAATCACATCTTCAGAGCACATAATGAGGTTTTTCTGTGGTTACAAGTTCATAACATCTTTCACTCATAACAAGAACAGCCATTAGTCTGAGAGTGAACTGTGAATAATACAGTGAACTCTTAAACTTGATTCAACAAAGTTTAATTTAATTCAATAAGGTTTGTCCAGTATATTATAGAAATTATACTGTATCAGTCACTCCTTTAAAAATAGGTCTCAATTTGAGCACATCACTACTAAATTGTTGGTGGCAATGAATAGCTATTTTATAGTGGTAATAACAAAATAAGAGCAACTTCACTGAATGAAGGAGTGTAGGGAGATGTACATTAATTCTGTATGAAAGGTTAAGACAGTACTTAGCCCTCCAAGTTGCCTTGTCAAAAAATCTTATGCCGGAGCAGCTAATTGCATGGATACTACATTTCTCCTAATACACAACAGCTCCTGAAACTCACCTTCTTGACCTGGATGATTAAATGTGCAGTGACTTTTTGAACTGGGAATTAGGATTGACAGGGGCCTTGAAAAACTTAAACACAAGGAATAGTCCTGAAGTCATCAACGTTAGCCCCGTGTACTGACACAGAACAAAATAAACCTAAACCATCCCTGATAGATGTTTGTCTAAACCAGTGGTGGGGAACCTAAGGCCTGGGAGGCCAGATGCGGTGCACAGCTTGCCTGGATTCCGCCCTGAGACTCAGTGTCTGCCCCCAGCATTGGGGAGTCCATGATGGCACTGCACGACTCCCTCTTCCCCCCCAGCATGAGGCTGGAGCCCACAAAATTTACTACTCTGGGCCCACCTAGACCCTGATGTGTGAAGGAAATGTAGAGAGTTTTGTCTGTCCTTCTCAGTTGGGGGCCAAAACTGTGAGGTAAGTGAGTTTTTTGGGGCACCCCCCTACGTATTTTTCAGTGGGTCAGTGGCCCCTGACCCAAAAAGAGATTCCCTACCCTGGTCTTAGACGGATCCAGACTGGCTGTTCCTTATAGCCCTACTATTCTCTGGATGGCATACAAATTGTTTAAATTTTTTCCAAGATCTTTCTGGGTATTGGTGTCAGGCTTACTAATTCCTTGGATCATCTTTGTTATCCTTTTTAAAGATAAGCGGTATGTTTGTTCTTCTTCAGTCTTTTGGGACCTCACCTGACTTCCTGTAGTTAATCATAGAATCATAGAATAATAGGACTGGAAGGGACCTCAAGAGGTCATCGAGTCCAGCCCCCCGCCCTCAAGGCAGGACCAAGCTCAGTCTACACCATCCCTGACAGATGTCTATCTAACCTGTTCTTAAATATCTCCAGAGAGGGAGATTCCACCACCTCCCTTGGCAATTTATTCCAATATTTGACCACCCTGACAGTTAGGAATTTTTTCCTAATGTCCAATCTAAACCTCCCCTGCTGCACTTTAAGCCCATTACTCCTTGTCCTGTCCTCAGAAACCAAGAGGAACAAATTTTCTCCTTCCTCCTTCTGACACCCTTTTAGATATTTGAAAACCGCTATCATGTCCCCCCTTAATCTTCTTTTTTCCAAACGAAACAAGCCCAGTTCATGAAGCCTGGCTTCATAGGTCATGTTCTCTTAAACCTTTAATCATTCTTGTCGCTCTTCTCTGTACCCTTTCCAATTTCTCCACATCTTTCTTGAAAGTGGCGCCCAGAACTGGACACACTACTCTAGCTGAGGCCTAACTAGTGCAGAGTAGAGCGGCAGAATGACTTCACGAGTTTTGCTTACAACACACCTGTTGATACAACCTAGAATCATATTTGCTTTTTTTGCAGCAGCATCACACTGTTGACTCATATTCAACTTGTGGTCCACTATGACCTTCATTAGGTCTTACTGGTTTGAATACTTCTAATTGTATTTAACTATTCTTCAGTATGTTATTTCCCTATTTTGGCTTATGTTCCTTATAGGGATGAAAAGGTTAACTGGTTAACCAGTAATCATTAGCCTTACTAGCATGCTTACCAGGTAAATGGTTAATTGGAGGACTGGTCAGGGGGAGCAGCCTCCTGTCCACTGTACCTGACTCAGGGTGCAGTGTAGCAGAACCCTGGCTAGAGCAGCCCCCTCATCCAAAGTGTAGAGGACTGGGTTGGAAGAACTCCCCATAGCTGGTGGACTGCCTGGACCCCAGCCCCGGGACCTCAGCCACACAGTTAAACTATTACAATTAAATTGTTTAACCAGTACATTTTTTTTATTGCATATTTACATTCCTAGTTCCTTTCCCCTTGCTGTTCAAGTTGAGTACCTGGTAACCATTTTCCTTTTCAGTGAAGACTGAAGCAAAATGGACATTCATCAGCTCAGCACAGGAATATACACACTATTGCTTGGTACAAATCTGACACCCTGCTTCCATTGTAAATCCTTAGAACCTGGACGGTGAGAGGATCCACTGAGTTGCTGTTTTATAAAAGCTGTTGTGTTTGTGCACTCTTCAAAAGTATGAATTCATATGAACATCTGGTTCAAACGGCACTACTTATGTTTTTTGCAAGAAATGAGCTTTTATGTAGTTGCACATTGCAGTGCTTGTCTGAAAAGAGTGTATCATGTCTAAACTCCTAAGAGCTTACAGGCTAATACGAGACATAATAAATGAATGGCAAATGAACAATAGCAAGAAAAAGGGGAGACAAGGGTAATAGTAATAAAAACATGGGTATTTTTAGACTCACTATGTATATTTCAAGATTTTATATCTGCTCCATTTTAAATAAATCAGTTGAAATTATTAAACAATTGTATGGAGTGTTTAAAACACTGTTGAGAGTAGATGGGCGTCTCATTTTTCAATCCTTAAGCTCTTTTCTGTTAAACCCTTTTCAATCAAACTTATAAATCAGGTAATATACCCATATTAATATAACTCTAGTAGCCATTGCTAATTATCTGATTTAATGGCTTGATCTAGACATGTGGTGAGGGCAATGTGGAGTCTCGGCATCTGTCTGTTTATTTCTTATCTTTTGTAGAAGAACATAGAATTTGTGTACTTCTGTCAACTAATTAGAGACAAGGAAGTTAGGGTTTTATTGGACCAGCTGTGCAAAATGTTACCTCACCTTGTAAGTGCCATATCCTGGGATCAATGTGGCTTAGAATAGCATTACTTATTTGCAATATATTGCAGTGGAACTATGTACCTTTCATAATTTATAAAAGCTAACCCAACATGTTCATTATCTTTTTATACCACAATTTTTGTTTTTGGGATGTACTAAAATGTAGAGGGGTTTATCTAATTACATGTTTTGATAGGTACCAGTTAAATCTGATTATGGCTTTTCCTGTACGTGTCACTTATAACATCTCTGAATATTTTATAATTTCTACATGACTGATTTCATGATTTGTATATGTATCTGTCCAGACAGTTTCTCGCTTGCCCTTACTTAATTTTCCTTAGGCTGGTAGAAAATAAGGGCAAATCTACCAAAATAGCTATTCTGGAATAATTATTTCAGACTGAACTTAAAAAACAAGAAATTGTCTGGTAGCACTTTATAGACTAAAACAACATGTAGTCTATACATGCGCCATCCGTTAGCATGTCCTTCTTTGTACTGAAGTATTAGAGAAGGCTGCTTCATTTCCTTTCCTTTCCAAAGAGAGAAGCAAGCAAGACTACTTCTGAAAGTGAGGAGATTAAAGTGATATGTAAAATTCCTAAGAATGAAGGATTAAGTAAAAACAACCATACCTTTGTGCAAAGGCTCTTGTTAAGGTTAAGGGCAAATGTGATTTTACCTAACCACTGGGGCCTTGACAGCTGGGAGAGAATGATCCTGTTCAAGACGGTGATCTATAATTTTGCATAATTATTTTTAGCGCACCACTACTTGTTTTTCTGTATTTTTAGCTCAGCAGTAAATTCTTTCAAATTATATATATTCATTCTTAGCCAGCAGCCTCTATCAGTGCATATCAGCTAATGGCATTTGTGTTGTATTTTACTGTATAACATATAGAAAAATGATTTTGTCTTTGTATTTCAGTGATAGACGTTTGCTACAACCTGCTCAGGTATGTGACATTTTCAAAGGAGTTATATTGATCATCTGCTACTTCATGATGCACTATGTTGACTACTCTATGATGTACCATTTGATAAGAGGACAGTCTGTCATAAAACTCTACATCATCTACAACATGCTGGAGGTAAGGGCATTGACACTAAAAGGAAATGTCAAAGTATGCTTTCTTTCTGGATATCAGATATAATGTATTATGATTTTTGCACTTTGACATTTGTACATCTCTCTAATATAGTAGCTAGAAAGATGTTAAAACCTCAAGTTGTACTTTAACATATAGTAAAATAGACATGGACTTGAAAATCTCTACAACAGATGCTTCCATGAAAAAGGGTGCAAGAACTTTGTTATATATCCTCTTAAATCTGTTTCTTGTAATGTATCAGAGTTAATTATGTTAAATTAAAAAAAATAAAATGAGGAAGAGAGAAAGAGAAAGAAAAAAGAAAAGTGTTCTAGAGTGAAACTTGAAATACAAGAGTCAGACTATAAGATAGCTGAAAAAAAAATATAATATTTGAAATAGGAATTGATTCTGTGAAGGTTTTGCCCAATAGTGGCAGGATCTTAGGGTAGAATAAAGAAAAAAATCTTAAGGTAGATGAGATTTATCTATTTATTTCTTTTTTTAGAAATGTACCTTTCAGTATGCTTACGCGTGTGTACTAAAAACAAAATCAGTACTTCCAGCTTCTCCCAATCCATACCATCATAAAAATCCTTAGTACGTGGGTAGAATGTCTGCTAGGGATGAAAGCAAATAGTCGACTAACCAATAAGCTTAAGCTTATCGGTTAGTCAACTGTTTGCCTAAGCTTATCGGTTAGTTGAGTTGACTACTTGCATTTCCTCCTCCCCCCACTGCCTCTGTATTAGGCAGCAGTCCCTGTCCATGAGGGAGTCCCAATGGGGAGCTGGGACCCCTCACAGACAGGGACTGCTGTCGCAAAGCATCCCCTGTCCACAGCAGCCCAGGCTTGCCGTGGAGAGAGGCTGCTCTAGCAGTAGCCCCTTGGTTTGCGGTGGGTCCCAGCTGCCATGAATGGGACTGCTCTTGCAGGCAGGCAGCCCGGCTCAGTCCCCGCTCCCCCGGTCCGGAACCAAACCCCTCTGTGGCTCTGCGATTTAAAAGGCAGTAGGAGCCAGACAGCCATCCCCACAGCTCCTACTGCTCCAGGGCCAAACTCTGCTGCAACTCTGCGATTTAAAATGCAGTAGGAGCCAGGGGGCAGGCTGCCTGACTCCAATTGTCTTTTAAATTGCAGAGCCACAGCGGGGTTTGGTCCCAGGCCCGACTGAGCTGGGCTGCTTATCAGCAAATCAAGTAGTCAACTCGATTAGTAAATTAACCTCATTTTAACATCCCTAGTTTCTACCATGAATTTAGAGGAGTTGGAGAAACTTGGAGGGGAAGGGGGGAAGCCAAGAGATATGTCTATGAAGTAGCATAAAAGGAAGTCCTGTAAAACTCAAAGCATCTGTTTTTATATGATTTGTTATTAATATAACGCTTTGGGAAGCAACTGCTTTTCTTTCCCTAAAATGTTATGAACAACCATAAACGACATTTACAAAAAGTTTTAAAAAGTGGATAAAGCTTGAGTCTGACCGTAGCTCTGCATATCTGTAGCATGAAAGAGGCATAATGTGTTTAAGGGGCTATTATACCCCTTGTTGTTCTGCCAGGATACTATACTATTGCTAATAGCCCATGATTAATTAGTATGATTCAGATGTCTATCAGAAGTTTGAGGATTATTGAAACTGAGTCTTGATTTGTAGAAAATCCAGAGATTTGTAGTCTAGACATGAATTATTCACTACTGCTGTTTGAAAGTAGTGAATAAGAAGCACATTTTGTAACCACAATATTAATATGCTTCCTGAAGTAAGTGATGTGTGAGCACAATCTTGGATGTTAATTAAGACTGTCTTGCCTTTCATGTGATTTTTCTTTAATACTACTTTCAGCTAATCTAGAAATCAAAATGTAAAATTCAGCACTCTAAGATCATGTGAACTGTGATGTTCTAGGGGACATTTATCCACATATATTTTCTTAATTTCTGACTGTGAATGATCGTGACTTAATAAGTAAATCCAATGGTACAATTTATTAATGCTGAAAATAGTTCATTTCATTTCAGTGTAATTGTTTTAAAACAACACCAAAAACAATAATGGCTACTTACTGCATGTTTTAAAATGGGGCTTCAATAGTTTAATCAGCGAAGCAGAAGGCATGTTTCATTCCCTTCACTGAGTAAACAGGAAAGGAGCTTGAGCTTAGCTTTACCTGAGTATAAGCAGAACCAATGGTGCCATGTCTGCTCCAGGGCAAGGGAATAGATCCTGCTGATCTGAATTCTGTGTTCTGGTATTGCTTATAGCTACTAGCAAAGCAAGCTCCCTTTGATTTCAGTAGAGAAGGCTCCTGCTAGAAAGTGTACTGGATTTCTTGATCTACCATGAAAAAATGTCATGCATGGCAGAGTAGGAAACGTGATTTCTGCAAGCTTTTTACAAGCCTAAATCACATCCATATCAGCATAAAACAGAGGGTTTTAGATCCCACTCAACATACTTGTTGGAAACTTGTTTCCATTTTACCCAAATGCAAATCTGCCACTAACAGTACACCTTAGAAGTTGCTCATGTGCACTCTTTTTTGTAAAGGCAATAACCAGACTTGTATTGGTATTTAAAATATACTTAACTCAAACCTCTGATTTTGAAATGTTTAATTCGTGGAAATGATTAGACTGACAAAGATGTTTACAATGATGTTTTCGGCTGACTTTGGGTCAGAGAATATTGTCCTGCAAATGGATTTGATAGAAATAAAAACCACCCAAATCATGTGCTGAATGCCCCCAAATAACAAGGTTGAGGGGTGCATTCAGCCCTGCTGGCTTAAAATGACGCTTTTCTTTTTTTAGATTCAGACCCACCGGCTCCTACTCCTTATGAAGCCCCAGCGTGCGTTATGCTGGTGACGCAACATTCACCATGGAACTCAACTGGAGCCTGGAGCCGGCATATAGGGTTTAGGTAAGTCTGCTTTAAAAGAACCAACAATATTGCGTGGTGTTTCCTTGTTTTATACCGTAAGGGATATAAAACATTAAAATGTTAAAATTAAAAAACTTTTTTAAACCCTTCGCAATATTGTGAACTAAACAAAACTTACCTGCCTCCTTAAGTATTCAATAGTGGGTGCCACTTCACCAAACAAAGTGCATGATGGGGCATCACATTGGAGCAGGAGCTAGGGGATGTTGACCACTTTTACTGAGAAGTAAAAAGCCGAAAACAATACCATTGTAAATATTCTTTTGAATTAACCTAATTCTTTTCCTGATTTAAAATTTCAAGCTGCAGAGCTTTTGAAATAACTCTGAGCAGGAGATTCTATTACCATAATACTATTAGGGTAGCTAGTTAGTGCTAAATGGTACTCTTGTTTTGTCTGGGATATTCAGCATTTAACTGTACTCATTTGTTGTTTTGGTGAAATCTTCACCATTAAATGTTTTAGTAGTACTAAATAATGACTGTTGGCTTGAGAGAGGAGTTGAACTTTTCTGATTTCTGTCAGAAGTTGCTCTTCAGTGATTTTTTTTTTTTTTAAATCTGACTAGCAACCGCTTTAAAAAAAAAAAAAAAAAAAAAAAGCACTGAACTTTGGCTGACTATATTGTTCTGTGGAAAAACCTTTAGGTTAATGTGGCAAAGGAAAGTATTTGCTTGTTTATCTTCTGCTTTACCCTGATACTACTGGTTATTGTTTTTACTTGTCTAAAGTAGTCATTCTTAGTTTACAAAAGAACAACTAACTGAAGTATTAATCTTAATACATCTTACAACAGTGATTCTTTTTATATCATAATCTTACTACAGTTTAATAAGGAATTATAATATTACAGCTTGAATTTCTCTAGTCAGGAACTCTTTGGCATGATTTTGGTAGGCAGCTATCAACTTATCATAGGTGTGGCCAAATTTCCCACAATTCCATAAAGTTGGTTTACAACAACAAGTCCTAGCTCTCAATGTCCTGTACTGTTGTTTAGCTCTAATTTACCCCTAAGTGTTTTCTAAGAGTGTGTCTAGACTACATGCCTCCGTCAGCGGAGCCATGTAGATGAGGCAGGACGACAAAGGGAAACGAAGCGACGATTTAAATAATCCCCGCTTCATTTAAATCAAAATGGCCACCGCGCTGTGCCAATCAGCTGCTTGTTGGCACAGCGCGGCAGTCTAGATGGGGATCTGCCGACCGCAGAACCCTTCATCGGCAGATCCTGTAAGCTTCGCGTATAGGATCTGCCCATGAAGGGTTCTAGGGTTGGCAGATCCCCGTCTAGACTGCTGCACTGTGACGACGAACAGCTGATTGGCACAGCGCGGTGGCCATTTTGATTTAAATGGAGCGGCGATTATTTAAATCGCTGCTTCATTTTCTTTTTTCAAGTAAACTAATCTACATGGCTCCGTCGACAGAGCATGTAGTTTAGATGTACCCTAATAGCCCAATAAGCAGTGGAAGTGTTGGTAATGCTGCTAGACAATATTGACCTCTCGTGGTTTGACACATTTTCTGCTTCAGTACCAGTCAAGTCCATGTGGTGCTGGAATAGAGAGGCTTATGGTATTGTGCTATTTATCTCTTTACTTGGGTTATTCTCATAAGAGATGACAAACACCTCTTAATTCAGACAAACATGCCCTGTGAATGTAAAGCTATTCTCTAAAGTACGTCTTCTACTGCTTTGTTCATTTTAATTCTAATGATCTCAGACTTGTATGTATGTGCTAGAGCAGGGGTGGGCAATAGGCCACTTCAAGATTTTGGAAAGTGATCAAGGGCCATGCTTTTTCTGTAGAGGAGATGTGGGATCTAGGGTGGTGGTTGGATGTAGAAGGGCACACACATTTAAAGGACTGGGGTGCAAGAGAGCGTGTGAGGTCTGAGAGGGAGTTTGGGTGAAGTAAGGGGTTGTGACCTGGGTGCAGGAGAGGCTTCTGGCCTTGGAGAGGGGCTCTAGGAGAAGGTGCAAAGTCTGGGAGGGAATCGTGACCTGTGAGAAGGGGAAAAGGGGGTGTAGACTGCAGAGGGTTGACTGGTGACTTGGTGCAGGGGATTGGTGTGCAGAGTTTTGGAGGGTGTTTGGGTGCAGGAGAGGATTCTGGCCTGAGGGAGCAGCGTCGGAGGGGGTACAAGGCCTGGGAGGGAGTTGTGACCTGGGGCAAGAGGATGCAGAGGGTTTGGATGATGACCTGGGGGAGGGAGTTGGCGTGAGGGAGGGGCAGGGGTGCCAGAGGCAGGCTGTGACTGGGGAGCACATACCTAAGCTAGCAGCCCTACAGCACACCCAAGACAGGCTGGGCTTCCTGTCTGCTGCAGCCCCAAAACACTTTAAACTGAAGGCTTGTTCCCTCCACATGGCTCTCAGCTCTGGGAAGGGACAAATGTGGCATCCACTGAATTGTAGCCGCAGTTTCTCAGCTCTGAGCTGAGAGATTGGCGGGGATCGATTCGTGTTGGCTGGTTGTTTCCAGCCTGTAGAAGTTGAGGATTGGGCTGGGGGCTGGGGGCTGGGAGATCACACACAGCCTCCCCCTACCTCCAGAGCAGAGAGCTGCACAGACTGTACTTTAAATCGCGGTAGCTGAGTGCCTGAGCGTCCGGGCAGGGTGGTCCGCAGGCTGGATCCAGTGGCTTGGCAGGCCAGGTCTGGCCCCCAGGCAATATTTTGCCCAGTGTTGTGCTAGAGGAAGGGCTTCTATTGCTTCTCCACTGAATTGTCTTCAATTTGTCAGTATCTCCAGTTTCTGAGAATTACATTTAATCACACTGACTTTTTTTGCTGCTGTATTGAATAGCAAACTACAGTAAACTCCCGATAATCCGGCACCTTTAGGACCCAGGGGGTGCCAGATTATCAAATATGCTGGACTATTGGAAGGGGGGACTATGATGGGTCTGGGGTGTCTCCACTGAATTGTCTTCAATTTGTCAGTATCTCCAGTTTCTGAGAATTACATTTAATCACACTGACTTTTTTTGCTGCTGTATTGAATAGCAAACTACAGTAAACTCCCGATAATCCGGCACCTTTAGGACCCAGGGGGTGCCAGATTATCAAATATGCTGGACTATTGGAAGGGGGGACTATGATGGGTCTGGGGTG